CTTTCAGATGCCTGCAGCCATGTTATTTCGACGTCTTCTTCTCGCTTCTTTAATCACCTTTTTCCTTGCAAATTTTGCATTCACAGCCACATTACCTGATACCGAATGTATATCATTTTTTATGCAACTTATTTTGCACTCACCTATTTTTCTTTTTTTTTTTTCTTTTTTTTAGTGACTGTATATTTAATTTTGTTGTTGTTGCGACTTGCAGTGAAAGCCTTGCGAGACATAGCGAAGACGTTGGGGAAGACAGACTGGAATTTCAGTGTAGATCCATGCAGTGGAGAGTCTGGCTGGGTTTTACCAGAAAATGAAATAATCAAATTCAAAATGAATGTCACCTGCTCCAATGATACCATCCTGCCACACGTCGTTGGCATGTAAGAGTACGAGAGTATCTTTCATCCATTTGTATAACAGCCTTACTACCTAAAAATTAAAAAAAAAATTAAAAAAAAAATCATTCTAAAATTATGTCATGTCAATTAATTTTTATTAAAAAAAATTAAATTATTCTATTTTTAAAGCATATATTAAGATAATTTTTATCTTTTTTTTTCTTAACTTTTTAAAAACAAGATGAACAAGCACTAATCACTAATTATAATTTCTTATGTATCTACATTAACTTTAACTATTGCAAAAAAAATGGCAACAAAACACATTAAACTGAGAGCATTTTTTACTAGAGCAGTGCTAGGGGCACTTGCCTCTTGCACTCTCCGGCGAACACTTCCCCTTTCATTGGGCCACGTAAGCTTGTTCAGCTATGAAGTGCAACCTCTTACATACCGGAATAACGTGGCACAATAAAAGTGAAAGTGCTGGCCGGAGAGTGCAGGACGCGAGTGCCCCTAGCACTCCTCTTTTGAATATTTTCGGCATGGGCCTAGAAGGCTGGACCATGGTCCAACAATGGTATGGTGAGCTGGACCCAGAGCAAAATTTAGCAAAAACCGCTGATCCAATCCAATTCCATTAAATTGTTTTCTGAAAATTTTGGCAATTTTTTTTTTTTTTTTTTGAAACAGAGAGCTGAAGGGACAGAATCCCGGAGTTGGTCCGTTTCCCTTTCCTTAGAAACATGTAAACACTTTTTCCAAACAGTCCCATCACCAATTTCAATTTGCCCCTAATCTTCGCCATGATTATCAATTTTATATCTCCTTTCTTTCCTTTTCTTTTTAGTTTTCATTTTTTTATGAATTTTTTTTAGTTTTCTAATTCATCTATTCTCAACCCACTTCAAACTAGCACGTTTCTTTCTACCATTTCACTCCTGATAAGAAAAAAAGTTCTATTTTCAACCCTTGTTACAGTAACCTTACTCGCAACTACCTTAGTGGTCCAATCCCTCCAGAATGGAGTTCCATGCAACAAATTGAGTCCATGTAAGCTCCCTCACATCACAAGCATTCTGCATGATGTTGTATCAACTATATATATAATTTTCAAATTTATCTACCATATTTTGTGTGTTCATGGCTGCCTTAATCACTTTATGCTCGTTTGCTTTTATATATATATATTGAATGTCAATGTTGCAGTTCTCTTCTTGGAAATCATTTAACGGGTTCCATCCCAAAGCAGACAGGGAACTTAAGGACTCTTAAGACTTTGTGTGTTTTTGTCCAGTGAATTTTTTTTGTTTAAATAATTTGTTCATGGATATTTAAATTTAATTGATTGATATTTTAAATCTATAAAAAAATGTCTAGTACTGTGGAGTTTAATAAGCTATCAGGAACTTTGCCTCCAGAGCTTGGGAACCTAGCAAGCATCCAGAGTTTAATAATAAGCTATCAGAGTTTAATAATAAGCTATCAGAGTTTAATAATAACCTATCAGAGTTTAATAAGATTGTTAGTTTGTTTTCTTGCGTTAATTTGTTGTTTCTATTTGTTCATATGGAATTGCGTTGTTGACATTGTTGTTGCTAATATTGTAATTTTCTTTCCTCCAACAACTTTACTGGAGAATTGCCAGCGTCATTTGCAAAGCTAAGCTAACCTCTTTGAAGGACTTGTAAGCTTCTGATTTTCTGTTAATTCAAGGTTTAGTTTGTAGAATTGTGTAGTTTGTGATTGTTTTGACTATTTTTGAAACAATACAGTCGAATTAGTGACAACTGATTCACAGGAAGGATACCTGATTTCATCCAGAACTGGACAAATCTTGAAAAGTTGTGACTGTTTTAATCATTATCATTTAGGATAACCATTTGGACTTATAATTATGTCATTTGAATTGGTGTTTCTTAATTTCTCTTACCAAAATTAAACATTTGCTACTGTCAGAGTAATTCAAGCAAGTGGCTTGATGGGACCAATTCCTTCTAATATAAGTGCATTAGCAAAGCTAAAGGACTTGTAAGTATGGACTTCTTATTTCAATTCTACAAATTGGAATATTGTGATTGACAGATTGTGTTGTTTCATTTAATCTCAGTTGAATATTATCAATATACAGGAGAATTAGTGATTTAAATGGAACTGATCAAGGAAAATTTCCTCCACTCATTGGTATAGAGTTGAATACACTGTGAGTATAGTTAATTCTACTATGACGCACTTCTCATTATCTAAGCCAATGGCTTTTATGCAACATAAATGATAAATAAATTCCTTTGTGTTAATTACAGGACATTGAGGAGTTGCAATATTGTTGATGAGCTACCTAAATATTTGGGGGAAATGACATCTTTGACGGCTTTGTGAGCGCAGAATTGGTTTCCTTATGTCTATCTAGGTACAATGGAACTATTAATTTAATCTCTTTACTATCTGCTTTTCTTGCAGAGATCTTAGCTTTAACAAACTCAGTGGGGCAATTCCAAAAAGCTTTTCTAATCTTGTGGCTGTTGATTACATGTAAGCATGTCATCTCTAAGTGATTAAAATTAACTCCCTTTTTGTTCCATAAATTTCACCTCTTTTGTTTCATTCTTTTTTATTAGATTGTGGTAAATTTTCTATCTTCCTGAGGAATTCTTTATGTTAAAAATGTAATTATATCATTTTTTTTCTTATTTTAGTTGTTTGACTAGAAACTTGCTCATTGGGATCATTCCTGATTGGATACTGCAAAACGGCAACAACATGTAAGAATCTATCTATTTCTAATATTTTATTGAATTTCCTTTTATTCTAAGGAAATTTGTTGACAACAACTTGTTTTCTGTTAAAGAGTTAGATACTGAAATATTCGTGCCTAGTGCCTTGTTACACATAGAAACTTTTACACCTTTTTCACATTCTCACTTTATTTTTTCTGTTCTTTGCACAACATCACTCACTTTTTCTATGCACACTTCACAATTAACACCACCTATTTATACGTTAAGCCAAATCAGACTATATCAACGAGATACGTATTTAACCAAATCAAACTATATATTCAAGTATAGTTTGGAGAAATTTGACAGGAATTGATGAATTATCACTAACCAGTCTTCTATTTATATCCTTCTTCAGCGATCTTTCATATAACAATTTTACCCCACCGGCACCAAGTTGTCTGCAAACGGGAGTGTAAGAATCTTACATCTGAGCTTGCTAATTCTTAGTAGATAGAAGTTAGTATGCTTATGTGACACTTCAACCCCATATTGGAAAAAGTACTATTGTGACTTTACCCCAAAAAGTTGTTAGGCCATGGTGGACTGCGACTAGGCTCATTTTAGCTTAGTATTGTAAAATGAGTCATTTTTATGCTAGATGATCTTTTCCACTTGGTCCTGTTTTCCCACAGGAATTTGTTTGCAAGCTATCCAAGGAGCAACGAGCTGTAAGTTTTACCTTCCTTCTCCAGAACATTTCTTATGAAGATTTCATTATGCTGAAACATACCCATTTGGTGTCATAATACTAACATTTTTTGGATCTTGTATTATACATCAGAGGGATTGTTTCATGCTTGAGAAGCTCTAAATGTGAAAAAAGTAAGTTCAAATAACATATCTTCTACCAATGTTATCCAAAAAAAAAAAAAAAAAAAGAGGAAGAAAAGAATATACATCTTCAAATCTAAATTCTTGGTTTTAATCATAGCTCTTGGATTTTGTTTCTCATTTTAACATCGAGGGACTGTGAGAGTGGGGAGGCAAAGGGTTATGCTCCCAATACCATGTATTTTCATCAATATGTCTGTTAACTTCAAGATTCATGGTTTTAGTATTTCTGTTTCTTTCTTTGTAGGTTGTGATAAAGTAGAAAATTTTTCTAGAATAAATAGCATTGTGTTTAAGTTACAATAACTTGAAAAATGCAATCTTTTTGTGGGAATCTAAGTAAAAGAAAAGGTTTCTAGAAACATAATTAATTAAGAGGGTTGTTCTCACTTGGCTTTATGATAAAAGATTTGATTAACAGTATTGTAGTATGGTTTCACATTGTTTGAGTGGGAAAATTCGATGTTCAGAATATGACAAAGATACATGTGGTTTAAATACGAAGAGGGTTGCTTCACATATTGTCAAAATTGGTCTTAAGTTAGATGCAAACCTTGTGTTGAAATTCACATATCCAATTTCACACACATACATTGCATACCTATAAAGTTTCTCAATTTGCTCAATCTTTCTTAAAAAATTCAAACTTATAAAGTTTGGAAGTACTTAGTGAAGTACTTGCGAAACTTTATGAAGAAATTTTATTCTTATTCAATAGTTTGTAAGCTGTTCATTTTGTGTTCCATCTTTCTTAAAAAATTCAAACCTATAAGGTTTGGAAGTACTTAGCCAAGTACTTGCGAAGCTTTAAAATGAAATTTTATTCTTATTCAATAGTCCGTGAGCAGTTTGCTTTGTGTTCCAGAAAGGTATTATCTCCATATCAATTGTGGTGGAGAAAAAGTAATTGTAAACAAAACCGGATATGAAGATGATTCAGATCAACATGTACCTTCAAGATTGATTGTACATAGTGGTGATTGGGCACTCAGTAGCTCTGATCACTTCTTGTGTTATAAAAAAAATGCAGACCGCTTTACATTCATAAGCGATTCTAAACTCTCTAGGAAAGATTCACAACTGTACATGAGTGCACGCCTTTCGCCCATCTCTTTGACTTATTTTTCGTTTTGTATGGGAAATGGGAACTACACAGTAAATCTTCATTTTGCGGAAATAATGTTCACTGATGATAAGACATATAAAAGCTTGGGGAGGCGCATATTTGATATTTACATTCAGGTAGCTAAGACTGGTTTTGATTCCAGAAGCTTTTACATTTCTATGTTTGATTGAATCTAGAAAATAAGGAAAAACAATGTAGGCCTGAATGGAATGTTCAGTAGATGAAATTCATAATTGCAGGGCAAGCTGTTGCAGAAGGATTTCAACATTGTGGATGAAGCAGGTGGGGTTGGCAGGGCTATTATAAGAAACTTTTCTGCTGCTGTGACCAAAGGTACCTTGGAGATTCGTCTATATTGGGCTGGAAAAGGAACAACAGATATTCTTGTTAAAGGAGTTTATCTGTTTATGGTCCTCTTATATCAGCTATATCTGTTAATCCTAGTAAGTTGTGTAATACTGCAAATTCCTTCTTGTTACTTGTATCTAATTTTTTTCTTACTGACACATAACTTGTTAAATAGCCTACCATATTGGCATTACATTAGACCTAGCAATCTAATTGTGCTGCATGTTTTTATATAAAGATTCAATGCGATTAAGTAGTACAATCTGCAGATTTTACAGCTCCTTTCGAAAATTGGGGCATGGTGGTTGGAATTCTGGTCGGAGCATCATTTGTTATCCTTTTGATCTCTGGTATTCGTTGGTGGAAATGCTGCTTAAGACAGAAAAACACACTGGAACAAGGTACTAAAGGGAAATTAGTATTTGATTACAATACTGGCTTTCTCAAAACTTCTGGAAATGAATTTGGTAGTGTAGAATTTTCTTAGAAAATACCATCATTCTTCTTTTCGCTATTCAAAAAAAAAAAAAAATAGAAAAGAAAAGAAAAGAAAAGAAAGAAATCCTCTCATTCCTCTTTCCTTTTAAATAACATGCTGACATGATAAATGCTCATTTAAATTTAATTCAATATACTTGGCATCAAGAGAGTTTAGCAGTCACCGTATAAATGATAATCGTATTGTCTTGCTCATCTTCTGCAGATCTAAAAGGTTTGGGCTTGCAAACAGGTTCTTTTAGTTTGAGGCAGATTAAAGCAGCCACTAACAACTTTGATCCTGCTAATAAGATCGGAGAAGGTGGTTTTGGTCCTGTTTACAAGGTATCAAATACTGCTAATGT